GGCTGAACAGGCTCCTGGCTTGAGGCAGATAATCAGAAAAGATTTGTTTTCTTCAACTTTCAGGGACAAGAAACAATGTTGGGGATCTCTAAAGAAAAGCATAGATCAGTCAATGAAAAAGTGTCTTAATGCCACAAAAACATACTGGAATTCGGTTCTACCCCAACAAATGTTACAATAAGAAAAGGATCAATTGGCACGTCTTTTCCTCTTTGGGAAGAAGTTAAGTTCGAAGATAGTAGGATACCTTAACAGAAGGCTGGGCGGAGAAGTTGGTTCCCCATTTCCTGAAAACTTGAACAATTTTATTTAACCACTCCCCTTCCCTCGCGCTCACTTCCCTACCCCCATCCCGCATCTCCACCCCAAGGTGCTGTGGGCACTTAAGCATTCTGGAAAACAAGACAATTAGAAGCTCTATTTAGGCTGATTCAGGGAATACCTGAGCTCCGTCCTTACGAGGGCTTGACCTACTGCTGCCTGTCGCGCCTGGGAAGAGGGGCGGATGCGGGGGGCGCAAATGGGGTATGGGGAGAGGATATGCCTCCTCTTCGTTATATCAGGACAAACTGTCACCTGGGCCCCAGGTTTCCCACCTGGAAATCGGGGGGAAGGGGAGAGGGAAAGCAGGCGCTCGCCTCTTCCGCCCGGCAACTCCGCTGCGGTGTCTCCGGGCCAGGCCCAAACCTATTCTCTTCTCGGGCTACAGCCCCTCATTGCGGGAATCGACAAGGATTCGGGTGCAAAGGGGGCCAGCGGAGGACGAGGGAGGCGAAAGGTGGCCGCTCTGATGAGGGCCCGCCCCTGAGGAGATGGAATCGGCGTCAAGGCGAGGAGGAACTGATCCCCGGAGCGCACCAGGCGGCCCCGCCAGCCCGGTACCTGGTCCTGGAGTTACCAAGCAGTCCCGGCCCAGTCTCAGCTCCGCCTCCTTGGTTTAGGGCCGCGCTGCCGCCAGGCCGGTTGCTGGGAGGGAGGTACGCAACGTGCCATGCGCAGTAGAAGGACGCGGGGAGGGCTGGTAGAAGACAGCTCCGCCCCGCCCCGCCCCGGCCGCCTCTGCCCGGGCGCGATAAGTGGGGAAGCCCCGCCCCGCCCCCGGCCGCCGGGGCCCGGGCGCGGCCAGTGGGGAAGCCCAGCCCCGCCCTGCGCGGGAGAGGAAGCCCCGCCCCACCCCGGCCCCCTCGACGAGGGAGAGGCTAGTGGAGAAGCAGCGTGGTTCCCGCAGCTCCTCGAGTGCAGTGGGGTTTCTCTTAGCAGCTACCTCGCACAGAGCGATTCTCCAGTTCTGAGTCACCTGATTACGCGCAGCGCAAACCTGAGGGCATTCGGTCTCCAACAGATGGGACCTGTGTCCCCGCGCGTGGAAGCCAGAGACCTAGCTTGTCCTTGATGTGTTCTTCGGGGTCTGAAAAGGGTTCTGTAAGCCTCGGTCCCGGAAGCAGGAAGGAAGTGGGGTGATTTCAATAATGAAGAGTCAAGGGGACTAGAGGAAGGCAAACCAACGCTGGCTACTGACTTGGCTACTTTTGGGGGGTTCTTTTTCCTTTCCTGTGGTAGGACTTTAGTTGAAAAATCAGTCTCGCACTTTCTTTGAAGATATCTTGAACGCCCCTCACTTTGGCCTCCCGGGCACCAGACTGACAAGCTACAAAGGGGAAACCCACCCTTTCTCTGTGCCGCCTTCTATAAAGGGAGGAAAACAGCTCAACTATCCTTTTTGTCCCTCTCATGATCTTTTGTCCTGAATCCTTCCGTACCCACGACTTTGAGACATGTACTGTTTGCAGAAACCTGTGAAGTTTGCCTTTCTGGGGAGGCTAGCCTCAGCCAAGGAATGCAGGGCTTGAGAAAGGATGAAGCAATGAATGATGGAGCAAGACTTCCGTGAGCCTGCGTTTTTTCTCCCAGTGACTTGCTCCGCTCACGGAGGCGGGAGTGGGGGTGGGCTGGATCTAAAATTGGGTCTAAACCATTCAATAATGAACACTAGCCCTTCCTGGCTAAGATCCTTGACACAGATTTATACAGGTTTAACTTTCAAAATGGGTAAGTTCAGCTACATTGAAACAGGGACTGATGGAAATTTGATGCCTAAAGTCAATGTGAGCTCTTTCCAGTGCATCTCAAGATCTTATTGAATTTGACACACGTCACTCTGATTTGTTGCTTTAGCGTTCCCAAGCAGTATTCTCACTATTCTCTCAATATCAAATAAGATCCTTACCCAGCAACGAACTTGGTAAATTGACAAAGCAAGATAGTAGCAGAAAGTGAAGTAAAATCCTTGTGATGTTCTTTGGAAAAGATCATTTTCCCATGTGGTCTTTGGAAATAAGAGTACTGGAGGGGTCAGTGCCTGAAAAGATGCCAGATTTAATGCAGCCACCAGGATAGGGAATTTAAACACAGAAGTACTTCCCATCTGATACCCAGCCCTGTAGCTATGTCACTTTCTAGCTGGATGTCAGTTGGTCAAGGGGGCTAAAAGATCTCACCATCTTCACGACTGCCCACGAAAGCTAGTTTGAGAATCTTTGGGCTAGACTGTTTAAAGGAGCAAATTTCCTTGCAGAAAGTTCTCCTAAACCCAGATAACTTAGAAAACTGGTGTAATGAAAGGCCTATTTTGCGTTCACAAACTCAGTGTCTTTTTGCTTTGCTTTTGACTTATGAGTTCTGGGGTGCACAAGCTCCATTATGCTTCTCACTTATGTATAATAAGGGGTAGGACTCTTCCAGATTTCTGGAGCCTTCTGAAATTTGCTTGAAGCCTAGAGGAATGGAGATGGACTGATGAGCACTGAGTGCACTGCCCTCTTCAAGATAGCACATAAATTAACTGTGGGAACAGTAGAACTAATTGCCTAGAATACTTGAGTGACAGCTGGAAATGCTTATGATGTGTAGTTTAACAAGTTAAGCAGGATTATTTAATTTATAAAGCATTTTATATGTCAAAGCACTTCATATGTGCTAAATTGCTTCAGTCGTGTCTGACTCTTTGTGACCCTACGGATTGTAGCCTTCTAGGCTCCTCTGTCCCTAGGATTCTCCAGGCAAGAATACTGGAGTGGGTTTCCATGCCTTCCTCCAGACCAAGGGATCAAACCTGCGTCTCTTGTGTCTCCTGCATTGGCAGAAGGGTTTCTTTACCACTAGTGCCACCTGGGAAGTCCCGAGCACTTTATACCTATGATCTAATATGATCCTCCGAACAGGCATTTCAGAAAGGTGAGTAGATGATGCCCACTTACAGATGAGGAAAGAGACTTGTCACAGCACTATGACAGCATCTGGGTCGCAACCCATGAACCCAGGGCTCTTTCCTGAAGCAGGAAACTGGCTTCAATTCTAGCTTTGCTTCAACCTTGGAAAGTAATATAAGTACATGCAAGAAAAAGGCAAAAGCTATTTAAGCATTTAGGTTGAAAATGTGATAGGAAAGCAAAGTTGATACAACAAATAACCTAAAGACTTACATGGTACTAAATACTTTAAAAGGCCTGGGTGTCTTTTAAAGAAATAAAAGTTATGCTATTTGGAAAAGCAAATAGGTGGAATTAAAGAGGACAATTAATTTTAAAAGATGAAAATAAAACCTCGTAATATCCATTGAAAGCCAGTAACAGACATGAAGTTCTTCCTTTTAGGGGGAAAAAAACATAAAAATTTTTTTCTGAAATTTGTATCACTTCTCAGGTCACAGCTGAGATGATAACATTCAACTTGCACAAAGATAAAACCATCACACTTATTCAAATGCAAATAAATCTTTGGCCCATCACCAAATTCCAGAAACTAAGAAAAGCAATATTTTTCACTATTGTTTTAGCATTCTGTAGTAGAAGCCACTCTTATGACGAGTTTAACTGTCTCCTTTCTCTTACCTCTTTTCAAATAATTTAAAATGAGAGGCCAGAACTGAAAGAAAAAGAAGCTGGAATGATAAAATTCAGTATTTTGCCCCTTGCACCAAAACCAATTGTCCCATTAAAAAAAAAAGTTTCACATTGGTGCCTGACAAGGAAAGGTTCTATCATTAAGGAAACAGAATTATAAACTACCCACCCCCACCCCAATACTGCCATGTTCTGTGTAGACACACACATTATATCTATAACTAAAGAGAACTCTGAAAGGATCTGCTTGGTTTCCACGGAGAGAAAGAAAAGCAAAACAGAATAAAGCAAAAATATACCACTAGGAGAGTAAACCTAGATGATACACTTTTATAGTGCTATCATTTACAGGAGAATTTTGCACGTATTACCTCTTAGTGTTGACCTACATGTGAGGCAGGTAGAGAAAATAATTACTATCCTTACCTTGTAGAAGGAAGAATGAGACTCAAAGAGGTTAGTGACTTACCCAAAGTCAAAGGATTAGTAACTGGTTTTGCTGGCACTAAAAACCAAGTCTTTATCTTCCAGTCCGGCACTTGTTGTGGTACTGCTAAATGCCCAGGCAATGCAGACAAGACTGGAGAGCTTGGTGGTTTTCTACCATGTGACAGTCAGCAACATTCTCCTTTCTTTGTCTCCTCAGTCACAGGAGAGACAATGGTGTCTTAACTTTAGTGGGGGACTTTGGGGGAGAAGCCTATTAATAGGGCTCTAAAAATAGAAAACATTCTATAAACTGGTGGGATTTACCAGGGGGGTCCAGTGGTTAGGACTCCACGCTTTTGCTGCCAAGGGCATGGGTCTGATTCTCAGCTGGGGAACTAAGATCCTGCAAACCGTGTAGCAAGGCCAAGAAACAAAAACAAACTCCAAAACCTGCTAACAGTTACAGGGAAGCCTGGTGTGCTGCAGTCCATGAAATCACAAAGAGCTGGACACGATTTAGCAACTAAACAACAGAAGGATTATTGTCAACGCCAGCTCTTTTGAGGGAAAAGCATTTCAGTGCTTACTTTTACTGAACAAGAAGGACATTCCTATGGGCTTACACTCTTGTAGGAAAACCCCAGAAAAGTAAAGGCGGCACTCTGAGACTTTTGTCAATTAGTTTAATATACGTCCATAGGTAGTTCATATTAATGCTTAAATTACAAAATTAGCTGCCATGGTCCAAATGTGTGGGATTTTAAGAAAGCTTTTATTAATTAAAAGATAGCTAAGCATATCAACTTTGATTTCTAAAATGCAGGTCTAGTGTTTGTAAAACAAGGCTAATTTGAGAAATATATAGCATTAAAGTAATTCAACTTTATTTTATTTTTGTTATCTTTAATAACTTAATTTCATGAACTGTTAAAAAAAATATTATATTTGCTTCTCCCAGCTTACACATTTCCGCATTGACCTGGAGAAAAACCCACGTGGAGAGTTCCCATGCAGTTACAAAGGCAGCAGCACATGCTGATTGCCTCGGAACACACTGGCACATAGAGCATCAGCAAAAGATACCCACCCACCCCTCTCCCACGAAAACCCAACCCCTTCCCAGCCCCGGAAAAAACTACCTGGTACAAGCAGTGACTTCAAAAAATGCTTTCTTAGTAGGAAGCATTTATAAAATGCAGAGATCTGAACAAGCTAAATGCTCGTGCAGAACAGATGGGCCTCTCCCCCAAGAGTTCCTTCCTCAAGAGGCAGGAAGAACTCTCTATAGTTTAGGAAAACTCATGTTAAAAAGTATATATATGCATCTTCATGGCTACTTCTTTGAAGAAATATACCCAGCCTCAACTGTGGAAGAGATAAAAGCAGAAGGATAAGCATAGGGACACAGCCGTAACAGAGGACAGAGCTTCCCCATGAACATCCGACAGGTTGCAGCAACCAAGGAGAACGTTTGTTGACTTCACGCAGACCACTGACCTCACCGAGGCGAAGCAGGTAATTTTTCATGCATTTGTTACTCAAGAAAACATACAGCCACTTAAAATACAGCATTCACATTGTCATGAGCTCACTGTATCAGGTAAGGAGAAAACCGTGCTCTTATCTTCCTATCCCTAGAAGTTTCCGTGTACATATAAGTATCCTAAAGCCTACAGATATCCTATGATACTGTCATAGCACCTCCCACCTATAAACATATACTGAACTAGACTGTTGAGTCCCTGAAATTTCAATACCACATACAGTGTTCTAAATTTTATTTTTTTCACAAGTTTAATGTAGACACAGAAGAGAACACCAAGAAATGTTTATTGTGTAATTCCAATTGTTATTTGTGGAATTGTGGTTTAGAGTCAATCTTCATAGCCATTTCAACTGCCTAACTTAAACAAAAAAGCAACAATCTAATTATATATCTATAAATTTCATGATATTTCTTCAAATATCAAGCACTAAAAGTACTGATGATTCATGTTATAATTTTTTAAATATTTTAAAACTACACAGATTTCATATATCATTCCTTTTATAAAATAATCAAAATAATTTGATTATCTGGAAGAAAATGACTGAAACAGACTCCTTCCAATGTATCTATAACCTCTGTAAAACTCCAAGCCAAAACAGAACAGGTGATGAAATAAGGATTTCTCAGTCACTGGGAAACTTTAAGATGAGAAATGAACTGGTAGCTTTTGTTTCCTGTGAATTTTGAACTTAAAGGTGGCATCAGGACTTAGCTCTCTGGGATGGCTATTACATGGCTTTCACTTTGATTTGTTTCATCTTCATTTGCTTCTTCTCCAATTTCTTTTGCTCACGCCTCAAAGCAGCTTCCTAAAAAGAAAGAGGGAATCCAAACTAAGATTTAAGTACTTGTTAAAAAAAAAAAAATGAGAACTGAATACTGCCTATACTGCTTAGGCTAACACCACAAATAACATTTCAGAAGATAGTTAAAAGAATTGCTAATATGTATGTTGGTTAATGAAAATTACCTTGAAGTAAAGTGAAAGTGAAGTCGCTCAGTTATGTCTGACTCTTTGCGACCCCACGGATTGACTACAGCCCACCAGGCCCCTCCGTCCATGGGATTTTCCAGGCAAGAATACTGGAGTGGGTTGCCATTTCCTTGAAGTAAAGGTAACTAAAATCTCTAGAGTGAAATTAGACACTACACTTATGCAGACTTTATTATTTTTCCCAAATATAAGAAACAGTAGCCCAACTTTCATCATAACGTATGTATCTACAAAAGCTTTGTATTTCAGTTCAGAAAACCTTAAGATCTTGTTTGATAAGGTTATTAATTATAAATCTCTTCTTATTGGCATAATCTTTACACCGGAGCCCAACACCTTTCAATCCATATCACATGTATACATGAGCCATTCAAGCCAGAAACTCATTACAGGATTCTTTTTTGGTGGGGGGAGGGGGGGGGGAAGTCCTTTCCCATTTAATTCATTGGATCTTCTCACAAGATACCTAGGCCTAGATATTGCAAAGTGGTGGTTCTAAAAAATGACATGGTTTATACCTACAAGCAACTTACAATCTGACTGAAGTTCTGGGCCCCCCTTTATCTTAAGCCTATTGTAGTTTCAGACCCTAGAAATATTTGGAGAACTTTTTTTTTTCATAGAAAAATGAAAGGCTAAATTATCTATTAATGAGTCCATGTAGATTCTTCTTGTGTGTCTATTAAAAAGTCAATTATATTTATAAAGAAGATTGCACAAACACAGAGCAGTATTTTCAGGGGAAAAATAACCATCAACTAAACCAAACCAAATCAAACAGAAAATGACAAGAAAAGATAGGATGAGAGGAGGCCTGTGCTCTTCTGGTCACTTACTGGCAACTCAAGTACCACACGAGGGCTCACTTTTTCTTGGCAGCTTGCCTCCTCTACTTCCAAGCATTTTCTTCAATCCTTGAGGTTATTCTCATTAAAATTCACATTTCCCAGGACTCTGTTTTTCTCATTTTTTGACTAGCCATTTACAAGGTTTATAATTTTACAGCTGGACTATGGCATCTTACTTCACAAAATATGAGAACATGCTAATGTTTGAAACACAACATACTACAAACTAAAAACAGACATTTCTCCAAAGAGGACATACAGATGGCCAACAAACACATGAAAAGATGCTCAACATCACTCATTATTAGAGAAATACAAATCAAAACTACAATGAAGTATCACCTCACACTGGTCAAAATGGCCATCATGAAAAAATCTACAAACAATAAATGCTGGAGAGGGTGTGGAGAAAAGGGAACCCTCACGTACTATTGGTGGGAATGTAGATTGATACAGTCACTATGGAGAACAGTATGGAGATTCCTTAAAAATCTAGGAATAAAACCACCACATGACCCAGCAATCCCACTCCTGGACATATACCCTGAGAAAACCATAACTGAAAAAAAAAAAAAAAATATGTACCCCAGTGTTCACTGCAGCAGTATTTACAATAGCTAGTACATGGAGGCAACCTAGATGTCCATTAACAGATGAATGGATAAAGAAATTATGGTACATATATACAATGGAATATTACTCAGCCATAAGAATGAAAGCATTTGAGTCAGTTCTAGTGAGGTACATGAACCTAGAGCCTGTTATACAGAGAGAAGTCAGAAAAAACAAAATTTCATATATTAACACACATATATGGAATCTAGAAATATAGTGCTGACAAACCTATTTTCAGGGCTGGAATAGAGACACAGACAGAGACAGCAGGCTTTGGACACAGCCGGGTAAGGAGGCGGGGGGCAGGTGAGAGAGTAGCACGGAAACACGTGCATTGTCGGACGTAGAACAGACAGCTAGTGGGAAGCTGCTGTGTAACATAGGGAGCTGAAGGGGGGGTTCGGTGACATCCTGGAGGGGTGGGATGGGGTGAGGGAGGCTCCGGAGGGAGGGGACACATGTGTACTTCTGGCTGATTCATGCTGTTGTATGGAAGTAACCAACATGATATTGTAAAAAAATTACCCTCCAATTAAACATAAATTTTAAAAAAAATCCTAAAACAAAAGCAACTTTTAAGTTTGAGATTCTGTGTACAAAATAGAAAACAAAATACAAATAAAAAAATATTAGAATTCTCTAATCTATAATCAAAATAGAAATTTTACAGAACAAGTTTATTTGGACCACAGGTGCATGTGTTGGCTTCTATTAAAATTCCTAATTTCTTTCTACCTCAGTACGTGTTTGGCCTGAAAGATGATAGTGGAACTTTCAGAAAGGCCTTGTGCTGGGAACAGAATAATTCATATCATTCACCAGGATCAAGACTCAATCTAACACGGTTTGAACAGGGAAGATTATTCCTCCTTTTTTTTTTATAGTGATAACTGTCCCAAATGCTAAGAAAATGCTAAGCTTTTAGCCTGTGCACATTCCTACACAGAATTACATTTAACAGCCAATATGGCGCCAAAAGGCATCCCCTTATAAATGTTTTACCCCAGCAATAAGAAAAGTCTGTCTTACCTCCAGCCTGCGCTGCTTCTCAGGATCCTCCTCATTCATGATTCGCTCCTTCTCGGCTCTCTTCTTCTCCTCCCGCCGAGACTGGGCTGCTTCCTGTCTCTGCACATGTGTCAGCTTCAAGAAGTTCTCCTCCACTCGAGCTCGGTTCTTGTCTGCTTTTTGTTTGCCCTTTCCCCAGGAAACAAAGCAATTAATCAGAAATCCAGATATATTTCATCTCACCGGGAGCCAGAAATGAGCCTATATTTAAGTATGAGGCCCATATTTTAAAACCTTTTTATTTTGGTGGATTTTTAAGTTTTATTTCCAACTCTTTATCTATCTTCCTATAATGAAGGTTATTGTTTTTGAGTCAAGATCAGAATAAATTTAGAAATAATCTACTGTAGCATATAATAATTCAGTTCTGACTCACCAAAGATTCCTCTTGTAATCTTTGACTTTCAACCTTCCATACCCTCACCCCATATAAGATGCTCCATGAATCCGCAATGGATACTTTGCCCACAGTATTATTACTTAGCTGAGCAAGGTAAGGATGATGTAATGCTATCTAGAGGCATAAGCAATTTTAATTATCTTGGTGATTTTGACACAAAACTAAAATCCAAACTGGCTTTTTTAACTGTACTCAACTCCACAGTCCTTAGCCAAAAATTGAGGTCAGAACCAATTCTACAACAACGGTAAACTTAAATGTGCTCTCCTGAGACCGGGTGTGAAATCAAACAACTAATTTAAGTCCTAAATATGTATGTCTGAACAATGTTTTTATAAAGCCAGAAACTTTACAAGCATTAAGGGTGTCTGATAATATACTAGTAAGAATATATTCACCCAACCATTAAAGAAGGAAGCCTGAAAAGGCCATGAATTACAAAATGCTTACATTTGCAATCAATCAAACACAAGTCAGACATCACAGATTCACATCAGAAATTTTAAAAAAAAGACCCTAGACTATAAAAGACAGAAATTACTAGTTGTACTTTCTTAGTACCAGCCAGTCTGTAAGATTACCTCACTGAGGGGGTGATGCATACATGCAGTGACACATGCAAACAAAGGGGTCTTATTTGATTGTTTCCCATAGGTTTTCAATTACCTTCACGATGCATGCAGTCAAAGCAAAGGAAAACTCATTTGGGAAGAAGGGTAATTGCAGAAGCACCTTGCAGGTATTTCAACACAGAAAGCTAGTGAAGAAAACTGATCAATATTTTTATCTCATACGTACTCTTGCATAATTTTTGGACCAGAGAACTGGTCTGAAAAATGAATGGATTCAATCTTGTCAGCATAGTGTGTAAGAAAGTGAAGCATCTGAAATAAAGAAAAGAAAATTATTTTTTTAAAGTAGGTTTGATGCAACTCCCTTTTTTCATAAAGATACTCATTCTTTAATCCTCCTTATTTTTGCACAATATCATGAAGCCTAAAGCTTTACAATGAAACTAGTACCTTTTTTAGTCACACCAATGATCAAAAGTCTTCCTACTGAGTAGCTGAAAGTTTATCCAAAATAATGTTCAAAATACAAATGAAAAAACCAACCATACCCCACCTCCCAAAAAAACAAAGAAAGAAAAATACGAATGAAAGCATGAACATAAAATCTAAACTGTTTTCAGGGATTCTTCACCGCCATATTACCCAGAACTTACATTTAGAACTATCTTTCAGCTATCTTATATTTTATCTTATACTATCTTATATTATCTTTTTAAAAAAATCTTATACTATCTTATATGATAGTAAGATGTGCTGCTACCATATACAACCAAGAAAAAGGAAATATAGTTTATTTCTTTATCTATTTGGCTGTGTCGAGTCTTAGTTGTTGCATGCAGGATCTCTAGTTCTGGCGTCTGGGATCCAGTTCCCTGGCCAGGGATTGAAGTCAGGCCCCCTGGGGACTGGGAGCACAAAGTCTTAGCCATTGGACCACCAGGGAAATCCCTATACTCATTTTCTATTCTAACTGAAACTTTAAAAAAAAAAGGTACTAAATGACATGCTGATAAGGATTAAAGTTGTAGTCCTTTTTCAAAAAGCCTAAATGCCATTAGCAATCCTAGAGACAACTGATTCTTGGTTTAGAGAGAACTTCTTGGCTAATAAAATTGCCTTTTTGACAAGTGAGTCTAGTGTTTAAGGAAGGTATTTTAATGCTTGTGTGGAAAACGAAGATAAAATGATTAATTTGTACAGTGGAACTTTCAGGGACACGGCCCTATATATGGCCAAGGTCTGCAAATGTATGTTTCTATCGTCTTTACCTTTGTGTCCATCATTCCGTCTGTGACTTCTCCCATCTCTGACAGGATGGCCAAGGAGTCAGGCAGTCCATACTTCGCTCCTGACTTAGGTTTGTCACTACAAAACTCACTCTAGAGGAAAAAGTGGTTGAAAGTAAGACATGATATTTTATTATGCACAGGAACTTCTTTTCTCAAGAGAATAGGTACTGACCTGTTTCAAAGTGATACAACTGTTCAAGTTATATAATTATCTTATGCCCTGAAGTTGAACTTTTATGTAATAAAGAGACACAGTTTCTACAAATTATTTGAGTTAGAAGAACCTGACATACCAGATCCTGCATCTCTTTCTGTAGTCGCACCAAGGCTTTCCGAGTGCCAACAGCAAACACGTAGGTATCCATGTCTTCATCATTCATAGTTACTTTTATTTGCTTAAAAAAAAAAAAAAAAGCCAAAGCCTGAATGGCCCTGGGAAGAGGGGCCTAAGCTCCAGAGGCATGGAAGCTCTGTGCATCACCCCACCCCCACACCTTGCCCCACACTTCTCTTCCATTTGGCTGTTTCTGAACTTCATCCTTTAGAATAAGCTGGTAAGTGTAAAGTGTTTTCCTGAGTTCTGTGAGCTATTCCAGCAAATTACTGACTCTGAGGGGAGGGCTGTTGGAACTTTATAGATTTATAGCTGGGCAATCAGATGTCTGGTGGCCTGATACCTGCAACTGGCATCTGAAGTGTGGGCAATCTTGTGGGTCTGAGACCTTTAACTTGTGGGTCTGGCACTAACTCCAGGTAGACAGTATCAGAATTGAACTGAATTACTGGCCACCTCGCTGGCATCTGGAGAGTCAGAACTGGTTGCTAGCATTGGAAACACCCCAGAAGCAAGTTAAACAGTTTTTAATACTCTACATTGGACCAGAGAGATAAAGTGATAAGCCTGAAGAGTCTGGTATGATAAAACATGGTCCCGTTTCTTTTATTAACTCTTTCTTTAAAAGTTTAGTTCAAAATTTACCAGTATATATGAGGATGAAGGAAATGTTAATGGAGGGAGATATGGCAAAGACCTGAGGAGATGGCAGCTGCTAAAGAAAAGGTTTCTACCCTTTGATCACTGAGGGGAAACTACACAAAGTAACACCCTAAGCAGAACCCTCCTGATAACAAGGCTTAAAAATATAAAGAGCTTCATGTTTGCTGAGGTTGTTTATCATTGCAGGGAGAAAAATAAAAAAACAAAAAACAACAAAAAAAGGTAAAAGGCTGCCTGGCTCAGAGGAAAAGCAAAGATTAAATCTACCTCAGGAAATAACTAAAAGTGATTAACACAACACAGTAAAGAATAATTTCTACAAAAAAGATGCTGAAGATGCAGCAAAACTTCCTCCTTTGAGTTTTAATTGATGAGACTCTAAAAATGAGTGGATTAAATCATCTGCGACCATATTAGAAAAATTATATAAACAAACAGGTTTGCAACAACAAAAAAAGAGAGCTTTTAAATAACAATTGAGTTTAAGTCCAATAAAAATATACAAAATATCGTATGTTACTGATACGGCCCTTATTAACCAGATATTATTTGTAGCTCCTGGGTCACCCCTGCACCCCTAGCTGCAGCTGCACATTGAGCAGAACATGATCTGTCTAAACAGAAAAGGTTCCATTTTGGAGGGGACAAGGGACACGAGTTGTCACAAAGTCCAAGTATAATCCAGGCAAGAAATGGAACAAACTCTAAGATGTGAAGAAGCCAATCTGTACAGAGAAAACCAGGGGACGAATACCTACCACTTGATCACTCACTGGCCTCATCATCCGGGCCAGGACATTCAGTAAGTCCTGCCTCTTGAGGAACTAGAAAACAAGAAAAAAGAAACCCAAGAGAACAATCGCAACTTCTACTTGCTATAAGGAAAAGACCTTGGGAGGGAACTCACATGCTTCATAAAATACACGCTACATTAGCCAGTCAGTAAAAAGACAATACTTATAGTTATTTGCTTGCACAGCTTGCATGATCTTAGCTCCCTGACTAGGGACTGAACCCAGGCCCCCTGCAGTGGAAGCACGGAGCGCTAACCACTGGACCACCAGCTAATTCCCCAAAGATGACTTTTAGATCTCACTTTAAGTCAAGCATGAAGAAACCAAGACACTGAACTTACAGGCTTTGAGAACACGCTGGAAAAAATGATAGGAATACATACACTGCACCGGAAGTTCCCCACTTACCCTCAGCTGAATAAGCATCCCCTCACAGCACACCCGGCCAGAACACCACAGGTTGTAAATGTGCTCATTCTCCTGGTTCAGCTTTCCTGCGCTGGTGGCTTCCTTGCTGGTTCCATCATCCCCTGGGGGTAAAACCACTTACCATGATCCGCTGGAAATGTTGGGCCTAATCACCACACTCTCTTCTACTGACCCCAACATGACGGTAACTTTAGGTGAGCAATACTTTGCTATCTTATAGACCTCTCCTTTACACATAGATTACAAGACAGGGGCATTATTATTCCTTTTATTTCTTATTGTCACCATTAAAAAATTATGGACTCTAGCCATTACTTGTGTGTCCTTATCAATTAATGACATCCAGCTTGGAGTATAAATATCCCAAGAATAGGTACAAAATGGAACAAAGTCAATTTAAATGTCTGTCAAAAGTTTTTTAAAAAGAAAAAACAAAAACAAAACCTATGTACTGAATAAAAAATATCATTAATACTAACCAGTCAGCACTCTCTCACTGTCAGTTAACTTTCAGTTAACTTTATCCAAGTTTGCTTTTTCAGCAGCAAAATAAAAATGGTATTAAGAGCTGTATTTTAGAGCTAGTGTGTGTTAAACTGTTACTCAATCGTGTCCGGCTCTTTGTGACCCCATGGACTGTAGCCCACCAGGCTCCTCTGTCCACAGAGTTCTCCAGGCAAGAATACTGGAGTGGGTTGCCATTTCCTTCTCCAATTTTAATAACTAAAAAAACCTCAAATTCTAGTCATTTCCTCTCTTCATTTAATTCATTAAGTGTACCAAAAAATGTGTCCAACCTTATAAGGTAAAGCAGACCGATACACCAACTAAAAACACACCAGAGGAAGTGAAGTGCTTTATTTTTCCTAATTTCCAGGTCAAAAAGTACCGAAAGAGTATACTATTGTGGAGAGCATGGATTTTGGAAGTAGGTTGACTAGGTTCTAATATATCATGGTTGCAACTGAATAGCTTAGACAAGTTTTAACATCTCTGGACTTCAGTTTCCTCTTTAGGAAAAGAGAAACTATATCCAACTGACAATTTTGTTCTAAAGATTGAATAAGGAACAATGTATGCAAAGCACTCAGGGAAATAAAGTGTTTAAAGCCAAACAGGTGAAGGTGGATGAGTCCACCTTACCCCCTACACTAGACAACGACAGGGCCTCCTCTAAGGTACGCCACTGTACACTCTGCACGCATGCATGCATGCTAGGTACACCTCTGCAGTGGATCTCAAACCAAGGTGCCTAAAACCTGAAGGAATTCTGAAGGACTTCTAAAAGATGAATTGAAAGCATTTCACAAGCTACCAAAAATGTCAGAACTCTTTGCTGTTGGCTAGAGTTTTATCAACTTGTTTTGGTAACACTGATTACCTCAATTCTCTCTGAAGCTTCATAGCAAATGATGAATAATGAAAGATGAGAAAACTATTTCATAAATGCAATGTATTCATTATGCAAAATCTAACAAAAAAGGGATCCTTGAGAGAGGAAAAAAAGCATCCTCTTCTCAGTGCAGGAAAGCAGTTAGATGCTGATACTGAGAGAGCAATAAGCAGTTCTTACCACGCAGTTTTGAAGCAGGTGGCTAGACCTGTATTAGCTTAACTTACCTACTAAGGTAAAGTTGCTCTCCAAAAGCTCCCTGTGAGTGTTAAACCAGGCCTGAGCAAGGCGACTGTTTTTATTCTTCCCGATGATATAATTCATGATGTACGCAAGCAGACCAGTCACCATCAAAATCTCTAGATAATAACTCTCCCAGCTGTTCTGGAGGTGTGCAGGAACCTGAGGAAGGACAGTCATTCCATTTAATGTTGCCTGAGGCTTTGAAGGACAAAGTTAACTCATGGGATGAAGGAGAAGGAGAATATCCATACATGGAAGTGGATACTTTAGATAACTGTCACTGAATATGGTTATACTTTGAAAAATAGGCCCATTTCGGTGTTTTAGGTCATTTTTGTAAAAGATTCTTTAAGGAAATCTGAGGATAATCCAACGGGATGAAAAGCCGGAAACTCCTCTGTATTTATCTTGATTCTGAGCCCCATTCCCTAAATAAACCCAAAGTCTATCCTCTTCATTCCTTGGTAAATAAAACTAGGAAGGCTAAAATAAAAACATAGGGGTTTCTTCTCTATGTACACAGTGTTATCAGAGGAAGTGATGTCAAACTCTTTCACCACTCCCAGAATTACATCAACGCCCAGGATTACATCAGCTGCATGTCACTAATTATATTTCTGAGATTAATGACAGGAAGATATTTTGTTTGTCACTTTGGGATTCAAAATCTATATACCTACATCAACAATTGTTATTGGGTCTTTACTTTTGCTAGAAGAAGTATCTGGTTTGTCTTCATAACCTTCAAATTCTTCATCATCATATGGTTCACTCTCCGTATCTCCCTCCTACAAAAACGAGGCACAATCTGTTTCCCCCATAAATGTCACGAGCAATTTTATCTCATTTTTACAGGCAACATTTGTAGAGGAAAAGAGAACATGAAAACAGCAAGTACAGGACACAGAGATATGACATATTTTAAACAAATGACAACTCTCCATGAATTTGAACCCTGGGTTCTAAATGACACAAATTCCATCCACCCACACACCAATACACATCTAGCCCACTCCTTCCCCCGTCCAGGCTTTCCATAGAGGTGAAAAATACAATTTATTTTTTGTTGAATATAAAAGGTGGCAAAGAACCACAAACATTTAGAAGAGCTCCACCTGCTGAATAAAAACGAACATACCAGAGAGTAAAGGTCTCCCTACGTGCTAGTTATACCATGTCCCATCCTTCCAATTTCCCGAGAAATCAGTGAAAAAGCAGCTTTACCTGGGTATCTGCATCTTCAAAGTCTCCTTCTTGGCTTTCATCCTGCCCTTCCAACTCCACAGTAGTCTCATCTTCATCATCTTCAGTGGTGATCACCCGTTGAGGAGATTCAGTGACAGAATCTTCTGCGACATCCTCAAATTCAGCAAAGTCATTATCATCATACTCTACGATGTCTTCTTCATCCTCAAAATCATCAAACTTGGCTTCAGAGACACTCCCAAATATCAAAAGGACAACACAGAAAGCATGGAAGCCTTTCATTGCACCTTAAAAATGAGTAAAAAAAAAAGACAAAACCAAAAAACCCTAAATGGACTGCTTTTCTACATATCCTGATCACATTTTGTAAATAGTTAAATCTAAGATTCTCCCACTTTTCTTATTGAATACTACTCATTTCAGATAGCATTATATAAACAACAATAAGGTGAGGCTCAAGAGGCCTGGGTTCTAGTCTGAGCTCTCCCACTAGTTATCTGTAAAATCTTGGACAAGTCATTTAATTCCTTTAGGTTGGGTTTCCATTTATGCTGTGTATTCAGGAAGCATTTTTTTTGCGTGCTTATAAAAAGTTTTATATAGAAACTGGGAAGAGGAATAATGAATGAGATGCAACTATGTATTAGTTGTAATAAAAATAATACATAAATAGAAAAGCTCTTCAGCATTAAATCAACTTTATATGTGCAAATCATCATCACCATCAAAGCAAATGTTTTAAGACACAAAGTGCTACACACTGTCCTAAAGGCTTTACAAAGAGCAACTAATTTAATCCTCTCAACAACCCTCTGAAGGAAGTAGCTTTATTAACAGCCATGTTAATTTCATATAATGGCAAGAAAAATGTGCCAAATGATATGAAAATATGAAGGATAATGAAATCATCTTACCAAACGTGTAAGAGTTTACAAAAAAGGGAAGTACATGTGAGGCAGAGTTTAAATAGTAGCTAGATTTCAATCACCAAATCTATTTAGGCTGTATTTCTAGTCCTCCTCTCTTTTTATCTAAATACCAGCCCTACATCACCAAATGTCTAACAGACATGTCCATTTTGATGCCTTACAAACTTTTTCTGTATAGTATAGTAAATATCAGGTAGTAAATATCACGGGCTTTGTGGGCCAAATACCTATCTCTGTTGCATATTCTTCTTTTAAAAAAAAAAAAAAAACCTTTAAAAATGCAAAAACAATTCTTAGTTTGCAGACTGTACAGACAGCCTGTCTCTCAGGCTGCATTCTGACCCTGCCCAAAAGTCATCTCAAAATCAACAGGTACCTGAATTTCTCTATTTTGATATTAGTATCAATCCCATATTTCTAGTTCTTACTTGTTGAAAAGAGCAAGATACCTAATTTCTCATCTTCTTTTCCCTTTGAAATCTAACCAATCACCAAATTCTGGTGCTTCCTTCTTAGATTCCCAAAGCCACCATGATAACCCAAGTTATCACCACCTACTCAAGAAACACAGTATTATCCTAAATGGTCTTCCCTGTCTCAATTCTCCCCCTACTTCTCCCTAAAAACTACCATTCTTCTTCTCAGACATGACTATTGTTTTATAAGGATTCAATAACCAACAAAGGCTAACCAGTTCCTGTAGAATAACATAAAAACCCCTCTGGCTTTCACTACTTTTCATAAAATGCTCCTACCAAAGCAAACCAAACATACTGTCAATGAGCACATCACTGTTTCAGATGCTATGTCAAGAGAGGATATGTGTTACAGCATGATATGAAAAATCTGAAACTGGTTAAACCATGCATATATACAAATACAAGCTTACTTTTTGTTCATTAATGAATGAAGTTAGAACCCAACCCATGTTGTTTTAGAAGCAAATACTCAAACAAAAAGGTCTGGAAGGTTACACATACATCCACATATAAATAGTAGTTACGTATGATAGGAATATGGGCATTCCGCATGATTTTTCTATTTTTCCAATTTTTCTAAGATGTTTTTGTAATAAAATTCTTTACAAAATAAAAGGATAGTTCTCACACTCAAGAAAAGGCACTGTAATGTGAGGAACAGCTATAGCACAGAGGCAGGAAGCAGCACATTTTAGAAGTCTGGAATGATAGAACATTGGGTTTGCAGACCCAAATGGGATAAAGGAGGCTAAACAGGACAGCACAGGCCGGATCAAGATGACGTTGCTGTTGAGTGGCTAAGTTGTGTCTGACTCTCTTGCGACCCCATGGACTGTAGTACACCAGGCTTCTCCCTCCATGGGATTTCCCAGGCAAGGATACTAGAGTGGGTTGTCATTCCCTTTTCCAGGGGATCTTCTAAGCTGGGGGGATGAACCTGAGTCTCTTGTGTTGGCAGGCCAATTCTTTACCACTGAGCCACCAGGAAAGCCCAAGAACATGATGGCTCTTATTTAAATACCACACTAAGACATGTGGATAATGAGAATCAACTAAAGGATTTAAGTAACAGAATGCCACGATCAGATCTGCAATTTAACCCTGACAGTTCATACACAGGTGAATCAGAGAAGGGCACCTGAGGTGGGAAAAACTGGAAGTGGCTAAGATAGATGGAAGATAAAACACGACTGAACCGGCAGTGGTACTGGGAATGAACAGGAAAATAGATTTGACAGGTATTTAAAAATTATATTTGTCAACATATAGGGACTGAACATAAAGAATGTGGGAAAGGAAGATCTTGGGTGATTCCAAGTTTTGGCTTGATTAACAGCTGGACAAAGCCGTCCTTAAGATAAAGAACAACAAAGGAGGGGGAAAAAATTGGGGAGAAGACAATAAATTAAATTTAGTACCGGCTGAAAGGTTTGGAGTGTTTTCAAGCAGTATGTCAGATGATTAACATTTATCTCTTCATTTTCACAATCCCAAAAGGTATTACAACTTATTTTACAAAAGAAGAAAAGGAAGCAGTTTGAAATATACGCCTGGAATTCAGGATATGAGCCTAAGTTGGAAATAAGATGGTGTGAGAATGGATCAGATTCCCAGGGAGTATGAAGAGTTAGATTTAAAAAAAAGGGCCAAAACATCTTGAAACAAATCATAACAGTTAAGAGGTGGGCGTAGTAGGGAGAATTCGAATGCAAAACTAAGGAATGGATGGACAAAAAGAGACTTTGGTTCAAGTGCTATCATATTACAGAAGCCAAAGGAAACAGATGTTGGTTTCAATTGCAGCAGAAAGTTCAAGTATAGTATGGATCAAAAATTTCCAAATGTTAATGAGGAAGTCGTGATTGGCAACGGCAAGGAAGTGGTGCAGGATGCAGGGAGCTCAGCACTAAGAGTGAACGGGTGGCAAAAGGGAGTATAGACTAATCTCTCAAGGTGCTCTGGCATCATGAATATTCTGTATCTCATATTTACAACACCATAAATTCATAAAGGAAATTGGTTCAATATCAAAGGCTATTGCCCAATATCTTCCAACTCATGGCTGCTCGAGCAATAGTCTTAAAATCTGACGAAGTTCATAAATTTTGAAAGGCACAAGTGATTTGAGAAATGCCACCAAGGATACGTCAATATTCTATCCTTTCCAACATTTGATCTTTGAGGTTAGTACCATGGGCTTCCCTGGTGGCTCAGTGGTAAAGAATCCATCTGCCAATGCAGGAGACATGGGTTCAACCCCTGACCCGGGAAGGTCCCACATGCCTTGGAGTAATTAAGCTAGTGCAGCACCACTATTGAGCCTGTGATCGAGAGACTGGGAACCGCAACTACTGAAGCCCACAGGTCCTAGAGCCTGTGCTTGGCAACAAGAGAAGCCATCGCAATGAGAAGCCCAAGTACCACAACCAGAGACAAGCCCTCCCAGTATCGAAGACCCAGCAGAGTCAAAAATAAATACACAAATAAAATTAAAAGCAGAACAAAACATCAGCTCTACCATTTGCCAGCTGTATGATCTTGGGCTAATTACTTAAATCCCTGTTTCCCAGGTACAAAAAAGGGATGTCCATTCACACCATGCCTCGTAGGGTTACAGTGGATGTGACAGGAGATAGGTGCTTGGCACGTGTAAGGCCCGCAATAAATAGCAGTTCCCGTTACTTCCTTCCACTGTGCCTTATGAACACCCTGTAAGATGTAAAAATACTTCATCTTTAGTATTCCCTTATAGATTTGTGTTTGAAACTTTTTCAAATAGAGAAGCAAATACAGGTTAACATTGGCACAGTAAGCCTGCCTGCCTGCCTGCCAAAAGGTCTGTGAATTTCCACTTAGAATGTTTACACCAGAAGCACTTCTAAGATAACTCAGCACTGTAGCAGAGCCCCTTTAAGAGTATTTAGGTTAAAATTATCCAAGCCATCTGTGCCTTGGCCTTCAGTCTCAGAAGTCTCTCTGCAGGCACCTGTCAACTCATTTCTCAAATGCACAAACCCTGCTGGAGGAGCAGACCCAAGACTCCCTGGACAGGGCACAGTGGCACTGACAAGTCCTGTCTGATTTCTTCTCCTAGCTTATTCGGCAGTCTCAGCGGTTGGTTTAGTCGCCAAGTCGTCTCCAACTCTTTGCAACCCCATGGAATGTAGCGCCAGGCCCGTCTGTCCATGGGATTTCCCAGGCAAGAATACTGGAGTGGGCTGTGGTTGGGTCAGGACTTAAAAACGAAAGATGACTATTAAGTGTGGAAATCATTCCTTGTTGGCATTTTAGAGTGGGTCTTTCTGACAATGGCCAGACCCTAAAGCTTGGGAGATCATGGAGACATTCCAGCCTGTCTCCTTCCACACGCTAGATAAAAACGTCTTATGTTAGAAACCTGGAGAGAAGATTCACCACCGAGGTTGCTGCTTCTGTTAAACCAGCTGGGTCTAGTCTCTTCCCCAACACGGAGAATCAGTTCTCTGCTCCATTATTCCTGCTGCACGCTCCAACTTTGCTCTGCGGGTTGGCATTTGCTCAGAGTTCTGGAAGTTGCCCAAAACCGTTAAAGTCACCCCGAACAGCACTCCCAACAGAAAACAGGGACTTGGGGGTGGACAAAGTCTGGTGTGTTCTTAAAAAAATTGGGAAAGGCGAGAAGGAGCGGGGATCGAAGCATGTCACCAAAAAGCTGGACTTAGGGGTTGGACTGGGAATAGGCACCCGGGTAGGCCACGCAACTCAGCGTCACCGCTCGGCCCGGCCCGACCCCACCGACCAGCGCCTCATGGCCCGCGCCCTACCTGCACCAGGGGCTAGAACCCGGCCCACTGCTCCTGCGGCCGCCGCCTCTATCCCGCCTGCCTCTGGTCCCGGCCACCGCCTGCCGGGTCACCGCGATTTCACTGCCCCGACGCCTCTAGTACACAGCCTGATCAGGCAGCTCAGTCACGCCGCGCCACTCTTCACGTAGCCTCCGCCAGCCGTTACGTAGAATGCGTGAGGCTGGCCCGCGCCTGCGCGCGGCGCGGGGCCGGGACACAGCCCTGGGGACTGCGCGAGACCGCCTGCTCCCCCGCCCAGCTGAGGCGAGGTGGGGCGGCCGGGAGAATTACATAAGCACCGCCCCTGGGCCGGAGCTGCCGGCGCCTATCCCAGTGCTCTCCGCTAGGGTTCAGTCTAATTGTCATCACGCTGAACCCGTGCTCCGGAAGTTAAAAGTCACCATGCTCTACGAGACCACGTGTCCAGGGGCACGCGGAGAAATGTCGCCCAGGTCGTATTTGCTAACGAGCAGAGTTTAGGGAATCGGCAATTTCATGTGGATGTGTTTTCCACTCGAGCCCCTTTTGAGGGATTTTTTTTTTTTTGGCGGTTCCCTGCCACTACGACTTTCTTCACTCCCAGACCCACTCCCTATACGGGCCATAAGCACTCCTCATTCAGCAGCAATGGCTGTAAGGCTCTGAGGCGTCTGTGAGGTATCCGGGAGCCTTAAGGCCCAGAGCCCACGGCGCCTTCCGGGAGCCGTAGACCTGGCTCCGCCCTTCGGCCCGCGCTCTCCGCACTGCGCATGTCCGGTTTTGTTCCCCTCCCCCCTCCGTCAGCAACGGGCCAAGAGGCGGTGGCGGCGGCGGCGGCAGCGAAGGGGGCGGAGAGGGAGGAGCGCGGCGGGACGGGCCCTGGACCGCGCGTACTGCGGGCCGTGAGGTTCTCTCCGCGTCGGCGGTAGCAACAGCTGCCTCTGCAGCCAGAGTAGCAGGTTTGCGCGAGGTGGGTCTGGACGCGGGGCCGTAACCCCTTGGGGGCACCGCAGGCAACTGCGGGGCCTAGTGAGGGCCAGGGAACCGCGGCCTCTCTTAACAAAGAGTCGGCGGAGCTTCCAGGAAGCCGAGGCGCAGGGGCCCGGGGAGGGGTAGGAGTGCGGGACTGAAGACTGGAGGAGCCTTTCGAAGCCTCGTCGCACTCCTACGGCTCCCGCTTCTCCCACAACTCTTAATGAGGCCCAGTTGGCGGCTTTCCGGAGGCGGCGCTCGCCTGTCCGGGAAGGGATTTGCAGGGTGCTGGGCTCCGGGAGGCATCGGCACGGGGAGGATTCTGACCCGAGCCAGCAGCAGTTAGCAGATGCTAGTCTCCAGATCGGGGGACCTGCCAGGCCAAAGTTGCCAAATCTGAAGACAGTGAAAGGCATAGTCGGTGATCTTTGTGTAGTTTTGAGTGTATCTCTGACTAGCATCAGCCTCCTCACAAAACTTTTCTGCGGCCTGCTAAAGAGCCTTTCTGATGTGGGTAAATAATTTATATGGAGTTGCAAGCTTACGCACCAATAATATAAGGAAGAGCAGTCATACTAGTCGAGAGTTCGGGGGAATCGTAGCTTTCTTATCATCTTAGCGGAAGCTTTGCCCCCTCACCCCTTTGGGCGGTCATTCAGATTCCTCTGGCTTCCCATACATTTTGGTGTTTGTGTGTGTGTGTGTGTGTGTGTGTGTGTGAATGATGTTTGTATATATCTATTTTCTGTATACACACCACCGAACTCCTAAAGAGCAGAGATTTTGTTTTGATTCACTTTAACTTTCCAGAGCCAAGCCCAGTGGAAGGTCTTTCATACCAAAATTCATTTTTAGACTTTAAGTGGTGAAGGAAAAAAAAATGTATGTTGTATTTTACTGTACCCAGATGGGACATACTATGGCCTAATCTGCAGTTTATTCACTCAAGAAATATTTTTGTTAACTTATGTGTGCCTGTTCCCTACCAGTGTTCTTGGTTTGTGACCCGACCCTCATGAAACGTTGTAGTGAGAAAACAAATATATAAATTATACTGTATGTTAGAAGATGATAATGCCTTAGGTGAAAAAAATTAAGCTGAAGAGAGCAATGGGGAGATGTTGTATTTTTAAACAGCATGGTCAGGGAAGTGTTTACAGACAAGCTGATGTTTAAGCATACTAGATAAGGAGGTGAGGGAGTGAGCCCAGCTAATTTCTGGAGGAATGATCCTTCCAGGCAGAGGAACCAGCAAATATGAAGACCTTGAAGAGGACAATGCTGGCTTGTTAGAGGAACAGTTAGAAAACCAGCCTGCTTGGAGTTCTGTGAGCAAAAGGAGGAATTATTAGGAGATAAGGTCAGGGAGGGGAACAAGGCGTTGCAGGGAGCACCAAACAACCAGGACCTTTTAGGCTGTTGTGAAGATTTCATTTTTCTTCTGCCTGAGATGGAAACAGAGTTTTGAGCAGGGGAATGATAAGATCTGACCTACACTGTTAATAATTTAGTGCAATTTGTTTATGTTTTAGCTTTATCAGATCTTTATGTAATCAGCTCTTTGTTTCTTTAAGCCAGCAAAGAAAAAAGAGATGCTTCTAAAACAAGTGTAATCTAGCATTTACTTATTTTGGCTTTAGAAGAATGTGTTGAAATTCCTGGGTTTTGTACAGATTCTTGCTAAAGAATCAGATTTATAGTGTGTGAGTTTTTCTCAAGGCAGATTATTAGGGTAGATGGTGATCAACTGTCACTAGAAATTTTTCTCCTACTTCAAAAACACAATGTTAATGAAAAAGTAACGTGGTTTTATAATCAGTTGTTTTTAGTCTACTATTTTTAAAGTTATTTATATCTTATTTTCCACCATTTCTCAAAACATAAAATAGCCAAATTACTTCCTTATGTTCCTACACTTTTTCAAATTTCCTAGACTTTGCTGTTTCTAGCTTTCCTCCCTTTTTAGCTTTCCTCTTTGTTGCATCATACTTCTCTTGTCAGCTTACATCTTTCCGTGTAAAAAAAAAACTCATCTTCTGGGTTCTAGCTCTCTTTTGAAGCCTGTCCCCATTTGTCAACTTGTAATGATCTCTGACATCTTCAGTGTCATGTGGCACCAAGGTACGGAATCTCTAAGTTGAAAGAAACTTGAGAAGTCTTAACTTGATATTCTCCATTTACCAATGGAGAGATTGATTTCTGGGAAAAAAATAATAGTGATAAACATGACAGCTAATATACATTGTGTACCATTTGCCAAGCTTTATTCCAGGTGCATTTTTGTGTGTGAATTCAGTTTTTCACACCAACCCTATGAGGTAGGTGACAGTCTCACCATCCAATAGATGAGGAAAGTAAGGCCAGAGAAGCTAAATAATGTCCCTGAAGTTCGCATCAAGTTAGTTGGCAAAGCCAGTGTTTAAACATAGGCAGCTTGGCTCCATGGCCTGTGCTGCTTTACTGTGCTGTTAAGATTTTCTACTAAATCACGTTTTAGTGCCTAAAACAGTACCAAGTAGGTATTGATACTTTATGCTGTCCTTAACTTTTCTCGTTGGCCAAGTTGTGAATCTCCCTAGGTCTCCTATATGTTGAATAAACATGAATGATGAGTGTATTCTCTGGAAAACAAAAGAGAAAAGAATAAGCCTGCTTTTTTAGCCATAGAGCTTGTAACGTGGAGCTGGAGAGAGAAAAAAAGAACACAGATAGATGTTGGGTGTTTTAAGACTAGAACGGGAGTTTAATGAAGGAAGTAGCTTTTCTCTGGGAAATCATATTCATGTCATAGTTCTAGGAGTTGGTATTTGAGATGGGCTTTGAAGGATAGGACTTTGGTAGATACAATGAGAGATCTGGTGGGAATGGAATGCAGGTAGAGGGAAGAGCATTCACCAGAGTGCATGTAAAGCAGTTCATTGCCACAACAGAGAGTCTCATTCCAGCCTGATTGAGTAACTGGAGAGCTGTTGAATTGAAGGGAATGACAGGATCAGAAGTGTATGGCCAGAAGGTGAGGGGTCAGGGTCTGGAGAAATCCTGAAGAAGGTTTGAGTGCTCACCTTTGAGTATGACTTCCCCTAGTTCCAAAATATTAATAAACACCTGCCAAAAGAGGTAGGAATTCTAATTTTCTCTTGTTGCTATTTATTTCTGACCCACTGTTACTTCATTTAATATTTTACCTCATAGGGCTATTTCCTTCACTTCTTGTAGGTTAAGGGAAGGGAGAGATGTTATTCCTCGGTACTGGGCACATAACAGAAAGTGTTTATTGGTCTATATAAAACATGTTTATTATTTCTAAGACCCAGCTCACATTGTTCTCTTTAAAGCAAATGCTTTAAACATTTTGCTTATGGTTATGCTTATGGTTCTAGTAGCTAATTTTTTTCAAAGTAAATGTTTTATTTTAAAAAGCACTATTTTTTAAAGAGAAAAAAATGTAGCTGAAATCTCACAAGTAAATTTGCATTTTAGAGTAGAAACTGAAGTCTGGACAGCATCATTCTCCCTCATAAACCAGATAAAATAACAGTCTAAAAATACCTGTGTGGTTGAATTCTGATTCTTTGATTTTCAAGGGTGGGTTTTTTTTTTAACTGTTGTAAAATAACACATGAAAAATCGAAACCATTTTCAAGTGGACAGTTTACGGATGTTAAGTATGGCCACATTGTTTTGCTACCATCAGCACCATAGTGTCCACAGAACTTCTTTGATGTTAGAAAACTGAAACTCTCCCCCCATTAAGCAATAACTCCCCATCCTCTCTCCTCCTAATTCCCGGCAGCCACCCTTCTACATTGTCTCTGGGTTTGACTAAGTACCTCATGTTAGAGGAATCATACCATATTTGTCCTTTTGTGACGGGCTTCTTTCTTTTATTTATTTCTGGCTGGACTAGGTCTTCGCTGCTGTGTCCCGGCTTCCTCTGGTTTCTCTAATCGCGAGGGCGACTCTAGTTGTGTGCGGGTTTCTCGTTGCGATGGCTTCTCTTGTTGCAGTTCCCAGGCTCTAGGCACAGGGGCTCAGTTGCCTCAGGGCATGTGGATCTTCCCGGACCTGGGATCAAACCTGTGTCCCCTGAACTAGCGGGTAGATTCTTATCCTCTGTACGATCAGGGAAGTCCAGCTTATTTCCTTAACTTGATGTCCTCCAGTCTCATCCGTGTCGTAGCATGTGTCAGAATTTTCTTCCTTTTTAAGACTACTATTGCTATATATTTATCTTGCCACATTTAGTTTATTCATCCATCTGTAGACACTTGGGTTGCTTCCACCTTTTGTCTTGTGAATAATGCTACTTGGAACATGGGTGTAACAAATGTC